TGAAGCTCTTTGTGATATATGTGGGGAATTAAATTATACAGATGGCAAATTTTTTTCTGATAAATTGATTTCATTATTAATAACACATAAGACTTTATTAAACTTTGGCTTCTATCTACTTTTTGCTAAGCAAGTGCTTTTTTACTCTGTAAGTCATTGGTGGACTATAGAGTCAACTTAAATAATAACCAGAGAGATTCTCCAAAGATTAGTGATATTTATTTGGGACTAACATAGCATTTCAATGTGAATACATGTGTCATAGAAACTATTAATGTATACAAAGAGATTGAGGCAAGGAAAAGTTTTGAAAGAGAAAAAGAGGATTATAGGAAGGTCACAAGGATTAGTAACAAGAGTGATGCTGTTCTGAAATTGAATATACAGTTGCTGAGCAGATGTCCTTGCAGATATATTTTTTGTGAAAGGTTGTAGTGGCCTTTGTGCAAGGTGTGGTTTAGGCAGTTTGTGTGACAGTGACATTGGGGCAGTCATTCATGTTGAGAGAAGTCTTTATGTTAGACTGACAAGCATAGAGAGATAGACAAAGAGACGGCTCACCATCAGCACAAGTTTATTCAGAAGAAACCTGCAGAGGGGATCTCCAGCAAGAGAGCTAGAGCCAGCTACTGCTTACAGATTGGGAGTTATAGGAAAGGAACCTGGTAAAGGGTAAGGGGAATTTTCCCATTGTGGCTTGTCCATTGTCCATTGCTAGGGGTAGTCAAGGAACTGGGTCTTATGTTCTGGTACAGGAGCTGGGAAACAGGACATTTCAGTCATGGACCAATGGCAAGAATAGGACGCTGCTGGGAGTAGTCAAGGAGCTCGGTCTTGTGTTCTGGCACAGGAGCTGGGAAACAAGGTGTTTCCCTTTGAGGGGGGCCTATCTCTACAGGAGTCAAACACTCCAGGGTCAAGCAGAGTTAGATGGCCTGAGTGATGTCAAGTTGAGACCTAACACTTTACAACCTCCCAGTTTTACTTGCTTATTTTTTTTATTAGGGTTGACACAAGCAACTCCAATTTGATTCTGAGAACTTCAACAGTAGAAACCCCAAAATGATTTTCCCTATTATTATCTACAGCTCTTCTTAATGTTATCTTATGAGCATTTCTAATGCAGGGTGATGAGGAAAAGCACACAGGGCTGTGTGCCATGGAGTTTTAAGCCACTGGAAAGGGCTCAGTAGCCTCAGGAAATTAACACACAAAGCAAGGGTGATGAATATCCGGTTCTGCAGGGGCCCACACTGGCAGCCCCCTGATCTGTCTGGAAACCACAAAAACAGGGCCATCCATCAGCATGGGTTGAGCAGTCCTCTCCCCATCTTTGCCTGACTCCCACATGTTCATCTTGCCTCATCCTCCTTGTAAGCATTTATGAAGAGACTGCTGTATGTCATGCACTATACAATCTGGAGGAGCAGTAGATAACAGGATGTTAAGGAACGCACAATGAACCTTGTAAGCACCAAAATTGCCTCCTTTGAGTGAGTTTACTTCCACACAAGTCAAGTTGCTCAGTTGCCAAGTTTACCAAGTGCCCAGCTTTGTTGAGTTCAGGAAATGTGATGGCTGGAAGTCAGCTGCTGCCCCAACCTCCCCTCCTCCTGCACTCAGTTACCCTGGACACTTTTGTACCAGCTGCTACTGGGATATAATTGTGGCCCAATCCAGTAATTGGGCTTGGTGGACTTCTACCTTAGTCCCTTAGGCCTTGTTTGGCTGTGCTGAGGAGGGAACATAGTTCCCGCACTCCCTCCCCCACTGCTGATCAACAGATGTCATAGTTTCCACCATCATGACAAGGATCAGCAAGACCTGTGAGACTGAGGTCACCACCGGCTCATCATTGATCTTCGCTTATCTTTTATGACAGTCATAAAAGAGTTGGGGTTTTCCCCAAACTTCAACAAAACCTCAATGATGTTGGTATGGGGAGTTAGCCAGGAGGGATGTCAGGCACAGAAGATATTTCTGAGAGATGAAATTGTTAAGCAGAAGGGATTGGATTCAGGGTTCCTTGAGAGGAACATACAACCATTTGCAATAGCATTCAAAGTATGGCAATGAAAAAGGTGTCATTTGTACACGGACATTCCTATCTCTCTTCCTCATGTTTCCATAAGGAAGCCCACATACCTCCAGTAGGGGTTATGTAGTAGAAGTAACTTTCAGGTTCCTCTTCACCTCTCCCTTGCTGCTCTTCATTGAAGGAGAATAAGCTTCTGGGATTCGCAGGTTGGGGAGACTTTGTCATTTGTCCTGCATTAGACCGTGTTAACACAAGAATGGGCTGCACCTCTCTCTTGCTGTCTTGAGATATCCTGAATCTCACAGTAATAGTGTCGGGGCCTGTAGACCTTTGTGGCAAGTTGATCAAGTGGGTATGTTATTTTCAGACCCACTTAGGTCCTTGCTCTTGATAGTTAGGCAGGACATCATCTTCTAATAACTGTCATCCCATTTGTCTAACCCCAAGCAGGAGAAATAAATCATGGGTCATTAGTTCAAATTCTGTCCCCAAAAAGCCCATGGCTGTTTGGGAGAGACCACAAAAAATTAAGTTAGGTGAGGAACAATTTTAGCCAAATCATTGATTTTTTTCATCTTGTTTTATTTTTTCATCTAACTTTGTATACTTCCAATGATGGTGCAGGTAACAGCCTAAACTGGGCATGGTGGTACACACTTGTAATCCCAGCTACTTGGAAGACTGAGGCTGGAGGATCACAGGTTTGAGCCCTGACTGGGCAGCACAGCAAGTCCCCATGTTAAAAAAAAAAAAGTGGTTCAATCTTTTTAAAAATTTTGTAAGTGCTTTCCGAATTGTTTCCATTATAAATGACATTTTACTGTAGTTTTATTGATAATCTTTCTTTCCTTACTGAACTTTGGATTATTTTCTTAGGTTAGATTTCCAAAACTTGGCCACATGGTCCCCTGGATCACTTTCCACATTCTTCTCAAACTCCCAAATTTTACCTTTAGCTGAACCCCTGTGTTTCTTCGCACATATGCTGTGCTTCAGAGTGGAGGTGGCCAAGACCTTCCTGGTTGTCTTGGTGGGCTTTCCTGTTACCCTGTGTTTATCGTGTTCTATGACTACCACATTCTTTTTGGTCAAATTTTCTTCCAAATCTCTGTGTCCTAAGGAATGGTGATGACCCCTGTTTGCCTCTGTTCCAGATAAGGGGTGAAGAGATAGGTGGAGTCAATGCAAGAATGACAATGAAAGAGCTACTGTCAGCTGGGTGTTTTAGTCCCAGCATTCCAAAGGCAGAGGCAGGAGGATCTAGAGTTTGAGGCCGGCCTAGTAAGAGAGCCAGTCTCAAAAAAACAAGGGCTGGGAGTGCAACTCAGTGATCAGGGTGCTTGCCTCAACCCCAAGCTGTGTGTGTGTGTGTGTGTGTGTGTGTGTGTGTGTGTGTGTGAGAGAGAGAGAGAGAGAGAGAGAGAGAGAGAGAGAGAGAGAGAGAGAAACAGAGCAGAGACAGAGCTACTTCTGTTAAGTGTTCCATCCTTCAGACTGGCTAAAGCAAGTCACATGGCTAAGCCCAGAGTGTCAGAGGGCAAACTATAAAGACACAGGAAGGATGAGAAGGAATCAGCAACTCTGACATCTCCAGCACAAGGGCTCTACTAAGGTATGTGCTGACAGGCATCCTTGGGGAAGAGGGCACAAGGAAGGGAAAGTGGGTAGGACCCCCTTATTTCCCTAGAAAGAGGTAAAGTGAAAGCCAGTATTTCATAGATTAGAAATTTTTTTTACATGACCCAGAGCCCATGTAAAACACACATGCATGTGTTTTAGGCAGTCTCTGGCCCTGTCATGGCTTGCACCATGCTGTTGTCTCTGCAGGAGGGAGTCAAAGCTCTTCCTAGAGTGAAAAACTGGACAGGAAAGATGTGAGGGCAGATCATTAAGTACCCTGGGGATCCATCTTCATATACAGACTGTATTTTTTTTTAATCAAGTCTTCTTTTATGCCTTCTAATGAGTTTTATATTTTTTTGGTGTTGAGGATCTGACCCAGGGCCTTGGATATGCCACGCATGTATTGCACCCAAGCTACATTCCCAGACCCTATAATTTTTTTTACATAACTGAGTTGTAGATTTTAGTAGGTTTTTCATTTTTAGTATAATTGGGAACTTTTTCTGTTGCATTTTAAATTAGTTATTTCTGGTGCTTAGGAAAGCAATTATAAGAATGTACTAAGCTCAAATATCATGCAGATGTATCTTTTAAACAACAAGCAAAAGACAAAATGAGAAACATTGTATCATTTATGGAGTTAAAAGTGAACACAAAAGTATTAGATATTATTTATGGATACATACAAGCTTACAAGTGGACAGAGGGAAATTTTGGAATGATATCTACCAACTTAGTAGTTGGCTCTGGGTGTGTGTGTATATGTGTGTGTGTGTGTGTGTGTGAGAGAGAGAGAGAGAGAGAGAGAGAGAGAGAGAGAGACATGTGTGCATGTGAGAGACAGAGAAAGAAAGTTCTGATTTTTAAAGGCTTCAACACATGAATTTGTGAGGTAACACAATTCGGTCTATAACTTCTCTTATATACCTCATTAACCAGGTGCCTCTACCTTGATGGATTATACCCTTGAGCCCAATGTGTCTAAAATGATAATAATAACAGTAACAATGGGACGTGAGTGTAAAAGGAGGACTGTCACGGGGAGGAATCAGTAGGGAGAGGGGAGGAGAAGGTACTGGGGTGAAGAGGATCGAAGCATACACACACACATTTGCATGCGCACACATACGTGCACACACAAAGATAGCATAATGAATCCACCAAACACTGTTTGAAAAAAAGAGGGTGGAAGGAGGGCTAAGGGAATATATCCAATGGAGTAAACTTGTTCAAAGTACACTGTATATATCTACGGACTTTTCAATATTTCCTAAATTTTTAAGTGAAAATATTCTAAAGGACTTTTTCTTCTATGCCTCTTTGACCAGGTCCCTGCCTGATGGATTATACCCTTGAGCCCAATGTGACAGTGACTGACTACAACTATCTCAGTGCCTTCCCAAGCCCCTGCGATGGGGAACTTATCCAGAGAGACAGCAAGCTGCTGCTGGCCGTACTCTACTGTCTTCTGTTTGTACTTGGACTTCTGGGAAACAGCCTGGTCATCCTGGTCCTTGTGGCCTACAAGAAGCTGAGGAGCATCACAGACATATACCTCTTGAACCTGGCCTTGTCTGACCTGCTCTTTGTCTTTTCCTTCCCCTTTCAGACCCACTATCAGCTGGACCAGTGGGTGTTCGGGTCTGGCATGTGCAAGGTGGTCTCTGGTCTTTACTACATTGGCTTCTTCAGCAGCATGTTCTTCATCACTCTCATGAGCATGGACAGGTACCTGGCTGTCGTCCATCCTGTGTATGCCATCAGAGTGAGGACAGTCAAAATGGGCACAGCTCTGAGCCTGATGGCGTGGCTGATCAGTATCCTGGCCACCAGCCCACTGGTGGTATTTTACCAAGTGGCCTCTGAAGATGGGGTTCTCCAGTGCTATTCATTTTACAGTCTACAGACTCTGAAGTGGAAGATCTTCACCCACTTTGAGATGAATATCTTAGGCCTGTTGATCCCATTCTCCATCCTTCTTTTCTGCTACGTTAGCATCCTGCTCCAGCTGAGGAGCTGCCAAAACCACAAAACCAAGGCCATCAAGTTGGTGCTCATTGTGGTCAGTGCGTCTTTACTCTTCTGGGTCCCATTCAACGTGGTGCTCTTCCTCACGTCCCTGCATGACATGCATGTCTTAGATGGCTGCACCATGAACCAGCGGCTGATCTATGCTACTCACATCACTGAAACCATTTCCTTCACTCACTGCTGTGTGAACCCCGTTATCTATGCTTTCATGGGTGAGAAGTTCAAGAAACACCTGGCAGGTATCTTTCAGAAAAGTTGTAGCCATGTCTTCCTCTGCATAGGAAGACAAATGCCCCAGAATGTTTGGGAAAGGTCGCTGTCTTCCCATCAGCGCTCCTCCCACTCCTCCAGCATGGACTACGTCTTATGAGGAGGGTGTCCACACTGGCCTCTGCCGGCATCACCACTCTTCTTATTTTTTGTTGTTTTTGTTTTTTGAGACAGTGTCTTCCTATATTATCCAGGCTGTCCTCAAACTCTTGATCCTCCTGCCTTCTGGATGCTGGATTACAGGGGTGCACCACCACGCCTGGCACCACTCTCTTGGACACTGAGGCTACATGAAAGGAAACTCTTAGAAGTTTGTTTATAGACATAAAATATATCTTATAATATTTAATGAATTCCTATTATTACAAGTTAACCTCAACTTTCAATAATGTTTTTACTATTTTCTGGGAATATTCTGTATAATGGTAACAGTATAATGGTAACAGTATGGTGTTTTTAAAAGTATGATCAACAGATTAAAGAAGTTACTTTTCTAGCTTTCTGTGTATTTACCACATATAAACTTAATCAAATGGACTTTTTTCTTATTGAGGTGATCATAGGGTCTCCCTCTATTATTCTGTTAATTTGATGAGCCACATAGACTTCCTTATCTTAAATTAACCTATATTTTTCCTAGAAAAATGATCTTTTGACTCATTTGGGGGCAGTGTTCTGCTCGTTTGTGTGTGTATGTTTGCCAGACTGGGAAGTGAACTCAGGGCCTCATGATTGGTAGGTAGGCACTCAAGCATACGAGCCATTCTGCCAGCCTGGTTATGGGATTTTTGTACCAGTGTTCATGAGAAATCTTCTTCTTTAATGTTGCTACTTATATCGACTTGGTCAGGTTGGCCCTCCTAAAATCTATTGGGATATACTCCCCCTGCTCCTTTAAAATCTAAACAATGAAACCATTTGTGTAAAAAAAACTTGGCATTTACTTCCTCTTTGAATGTTTGGTGGAATTCATTAAAGAAACCGTCTGGGGTTTCTCTGCAGAAAGATTTCAAACTATGCACTGAGTTTCTTCCTCAGAGACTCTTCAGATCTGCTTTTGCTTGTCTCAGTTTTGAAAAGCTGTGATCTTTAAGGAACTTTCCCATTTTGTTTAAGTTGACAAACATATTAGTTCACATTGAGTGAAGTTGTTCAGCTTATCATGTAGTAGTCATTGTAATATCTAAGGACCTGAGTAATGTCTTCCCAGTCTGATATTGATCATCTCTCTTTCTCTCTCTCTCAATGTGTGTGTGTGTGTGTGTGTGTGTGTGTGTGTGTGTGTGTGTGTGTCTGTCTGTCTGTCTCTCTCTGGTCAGTCTTAAGGGCTTATCAGTTTTACAATCTTTTAGGAGAAACAGCTTTTGGCCTTGTTGATTTCCTGCTTTTGTCTTCTTACTGATTTCTGCTTTTACCTTCTTTCTTTGGCCTTAATTTTCTGATTTCTACTAGCTTCTTGAAGTGGAATCTCAGTTATTGATTGTCAACCTTTGTTCAGAAAAATCTACTTATAGCGACAAAATTCCCTCTTACACATCTCAATTCAATAGATTTTCAGTTTAAATTTTCTATTGTGTTCTCTTTTTTGAGTCAAGATTTATTTAGAAATCAATTTAAATTTTTGAAATATTTAGGGGGGCCCTCTCCTGAACTCAGAGAATATATATCTACTATATATATATAGAATATATATATATAGAATATATATATAGAAACTATATAGAATATATATCTACTATATATTTACTGTATATCTTAAAGCTATGTTATATACTAATTAGATGCTTGTAAGTTTAGGATTGTTTGCCTTTTTATCAAATTTGTTCTTTTATCATTATGAAATATCACTTTTTGTGTGGTAGTAGGGTTTGAACTTACGGCCTCCCACTTGCTAGGCCAGTTTTCTACCACTTAAACTCCACACCCAGTCCTGAAATATCTTTGTCCAGTAATTCTTTTTTTGGGGGGACTGGGGTTTGAACTCAGGGCCTTCACCTTGAGCCACTCCATCAGACCTATTTTTTTGTAAAGGGTTTTTCGAGATAGGGTCTCACAAAATATTTGCCTGGGCTGGCTTCGAACCACAGTCTGCCTAATCTCTGCCTCCTGAGTAGTAAGGATTACAGGTGTGAGCCACCGGCACCTGGCTTCTCCAGTAATTCTTGTCTTAAAATCTACTGTGCTCAGCATAGACACATTGACTTTTTCCTGGTAAGTGTGTTGACTACTTTATTTGTTTTTTTGGACATAGTAATGAGTGATTTGTTTTAGAAAGCATAAATATACCTCAAGCCATGAGGTGGGCAGTGGAGTGAGAACCAACCTCCTAAACACAAGTAGCACTCCTCAAAGGACAAGGAGGGTGGCTAGGTAAGTGCCAGGGTGTGCCTATTGTTTATTTCAAATAAGACTATTTTCCTATTTATTTATTTACTTATTCTTGTTGGAGTAAATAAGAAGTTTTAAGTTTCTACTATTAGATTCACAATTTAATGTTTTGATTTGGGTGCTGGCTTTGAACCTAGGGCCCCATACATGCTAGACAAGTCCTTTACCACTGAGCTAAATTCTCCACTCTATTTTCCTGTATTGAAATTATGCTCTCTTTTGTAAGCATAATTTAGCTGAGGCCTTTTTAAATTCACACACAGAGAGTTTTATACTACCATGAGGGTACACAGTATGCACAAGATTTAAAAATCACAGTTAGGTAAAATATTCTGTGGATTCCACTGCATAGCATACAAAAGATTGATTTCAGATTTCAGATTATTTTAATATTTCATTTTCCAGTTTGACAACATGACTTCAATTACAAAGAATACACCCTGCAAGGCTAATGGCACAATTCGAGATGGTGTTTGTGTTAGTCACCTTTCCATTTCTGTAACAAAATACCTAAGATAATCAACTTAAAAGATGAAAGGTGCTGGTAGAGTGGCTCAAGTGGTAGAGCACTGCCTAGCAAGCATGTGGCCCTGCGTTTAAGCCCCAGAACCACCAAAAAAAGAAACAAAAAAGAAAAAGAAAAAAGATGAAATGTTTCTTTTTTGGCTCACAGTTTTAGAGGCTCCAGTCCATAGTTGGTTGGCATTGTTGCTTTTAATACTGTGGTGAGGCAATCATAATGGCTCAAGCATGTGACAAAGGAAACTGTCCATTTTGTGGCAGTTAGAAAGCAAAAGGAGTGAGAGAGAAAGAAAAGGAAGAAGGGGCTGGGGACCCAAAATCTCCTTCAAGGGCATGTCTGCAGTGACCTAACTTCCTTCCTCTAAGCCCCACCTCAACCCCCTAGGCCTCCAAGTGGTGGCACTGACAGTTACTTTCCTGGCAGTGTCAACAGTAACCCCCTGACTGTCACACCTATCTTCCCAAGTGCATTCAGCCAGCACACATACCTGAGCTCATGGAGAAGCTGAGAGAGTGACTCAGGATTCTGTGCCCCAGTTCTTAGAACACCATGCTCTTATAATATTCGGGGTTTGTTTATGTCCCTGCTCACATTTTCATAAGTGAATCTAAGCAGTTCCTACCCTTGGAAGTTGGTTTATTCAAACTGTAAAGGGAAAAGTGCCACTGCCTGTATTTTTAAAATCAAGTTTAATAACCTTTGTCTTTTAGTTGAATGTTTAGTCCATTTAAACTTAATAAAAACATATGAAGTAACAGTACAAAAGGAAGGAGACACTAAATGGAGGAGATGAAGTTAATTAAACATTTGTATAGTTCTTGCCCACTTGAGGAGTACTAAAGTCTTAACCAAAGATTAACTGCAATAGATCAGAGATGCATACTGAAATTTCTTAGGATAGTCAGTTAAAAAAAAGCACAACATATACTAAAAAGCTAATGGATGGAAGAGAAATTAGAATAAAACTTGACTCATGCAAAAAGAAACCAAGAAGGGAATAAGAAACAGGTGTAACAGAAAACCACTAACAAAATGTTGGAATCAAACCCAACCCTATCAGTAAGAGAGATCAACTCAAAGTTCTTAAATCATTGTCTATTCAACCAGCCTGGAAACCTTCCTAGATTGTTTATTGAAAAAGAAACTAAGGTAAAACTCACATAATCTGAAATCTATCACTTCAATTATTCTGCAATGTACAATTCAGTGGCTTTTAGAACAATGTTTTGTAATTATCACCACTATCTACATTCAGGAATTTTTCATTACCCCAGATAGAAATCTCAGACCATTTCCATGGACACCTCTTATTCCTCTTCTCTTAATCTAAGCACTAACCTGATTTCTGTCTCTGTGAATTTGTCTATTGTGGAGAATTCATATAAATGAAACCATCCAATATATAACCTTTGTGTTTGGCTTCTTTCATTAAGTAAAATGCTTTCAAGTCTGACTCCTTTTTATGAGGTTTATTTTAAACCATGATTTCCACCCTTAGGACTACCAGACTAGGTGTGCCAGACCAACCCTTCTATTGAAAAGTGAAAAGACTGGGCAAAATTAAATATATATATATATATTTTTTTTTTTCAGTTGCTTGGAAAAGACATAAATCCAGAGAGGTGAACTCAGTATTTGGAGCTGTTTTGCCCCTGGAATTGTTTTCCAAAAGGTGAAACTTAGGCTGGCATTTTTGACTAAAGTTGAAAAGAAACACAATTAAAATCAATATGTCTACAGATAAGGTTTCCAATAGATTAAACATAGCTAAGGAAAGAATTACTGAACTGGAAAATAAACAAGAAGAAAATATCAGGTGTAGTGATGTCAGCAGTAATCTCAGCTACCTGAGGGGTGGGGAGAGTCACAGGAGGATTGCAGCTCAAGGTTAGCCTGGGCAAAAGTTAGCAAGACCCTATCTCAAAAACAAGCTGGGAATGGTGATACACGCCTGTGGTCCTAGCTACTCAGGAAGTGGAGGTGGGAGGATGATTATGGTGAAGCTAGCTCAAGACCCTATCTTAAAAACAAACAAAAGAACTGGGGATGTGTTTCAAGTGGTAGTGCACTTGCTATGCAAGTGCTAGGCCCTGAGTTCAAATCCCATGAGAGAGAGAGAGAGAGAGAGAGAGAGAGAGAGAATGTATGTAATGGCTGAAAATTATTCAATGTTGAGGAAAGACACCAAG